ACTAAGAGTAAAAACAGATTGAAGCTTCATCGCTATGAGGATTTGGGGCTTAATGGTAGAATGCTTCAAATATGCGTGAAGACCTATTTGCTCGGAAACCGCGAACCACAACCTAAGGCTTGACGCATTCTACCAGAAAACCCCAAATCTGGGTTGTGCTTTGCGGGTTCCACGAACGAAAGTCCTCCACGTTTTCGCGGAACGAGACGCACATGTGTGAAAATGAGAAGAGTGTGGTGTGGATTTGGAGGGCTCCAAGTTAGGGGCATCATGATGCAGTTTTTCCAGAAAGCTAGGGTAACTCCGAGCCAGGGGAGTGTAGCCAGTCTAGGGGGTGGGGGTGAGGGCAGTCACTTGACATGCGTGAAAAGCTGGAATGTTCGAGTTCACATTAGTTCGCCGAGAAACTGCATCATGATGCCCCCCCCTAACTGGAATAGACCCGATTTGGGACATCAAGGCGTCCAGCAGAGCACGCTCAAGAAGCGGACCTAATGGCCATCTGCAGTGGCTCAGTCACCTGCTTTCAGAGTCACTTTGATGGCTTGCCGATATTGTGATGTTGCATTAGGAAATAAGGATCAACTCGGATGTGCTTGTCAGTCTTTCGAGGATTCCAACCAGTCGACCGTCACGTTCGCACTTTTTCAAGAATTTTGCGATCCCCCTCCCTTTAGGGGGTCTCTACGACACCCCACCACTACCATCAGTCTTAGGAGGCTTTCCCAATTCCCCTCCCCTCCCTACTCCGACTGGTTTCAGAATCAAATGCAGTAGAAAAAGCTATGGTTGCTATGCAGAGCGGTGGGGAAGGGTGATCGTACGTAGGACTCCTTGAAGGCTTCGGTGACTCTGTGCTCAGGTCCTAGTAGATGAACATAATGTGGGGAATAGAAACGGGTTCTCCAACGCTTAGGTAGCGCGCAAAATCCTTAGCAAAAAGTTGTAGGTAGAGATGGAGATGGATTTGGATTTGGTCCTAGCTTCAGCGTACCTGCCTACTTTTGAATATGGAGAGTAGTGTGACAAAACTGATCACATAAGCCAAAACGACGAAGAGGAAATGGGCAGTGCAGTAGGCGATGTGAGTAGAGGAAACCACTGGGCAGTGTTGCGACGGATTCAACGAATGTAGACCGTGTGAAGTCCGAGCCGCCACGAAAATTGACACCTGAACAGAGAAGATTTGAGTACAGATTCCAAGCTCCATTGCTCCTTCTCAAAGCAACACCCCAGCAGAAGTCATACCGAAGAATCTATTCAGTGACTGGGATAGAGTAGCCCACGAGTAGCACAGATGTGCCGTTGTCGCGGCTCGAAAGTGCGCGACAATGGCGCTAGGGTCTTACAAAGTCAGCTTTTGGCGACTAATCTTAGCATTTGGACGAGTTACGTCGCGCACATCCCATGACACGCAGCGTGGATTACGGTGTAGTAGCTATTTCAAAAATATACGGGTTCGTTGAGTCGTGGGGCAGACAATCTCCGTACACCCTCGTGCGGCCCCGCCCCCTTCCATTTATACATTCCGAAGGGGGATTTTTTAGGATTTTATCGACGGCTTTCTTTGCTTCTTCTTCTTCTTCTTTCCTTCTCCTTCTCATTTTTAGTCAAATTCGGCATCCGCAACTTCATACCAACCGCTGTGACCCGGCCAATTCCATCTTGGGGTGTTGCTTTAATGCATTCATGATGGCGCCTTTTTCCTTTCAGGTGGGACGGGTGCAATTTAGCTGTTGCCTCCCCTCGAATTTGCAGATTTTGTGTAAATGAACAAGAACATGAAGATCAGCCAATGATACATTTCAGGAATTGATGAAACATATCATTTTGATAAATACTGCTAAAAGACGAACAGTCTCTAACCGAAAGTATTGGGCTGCAGCCCATCTGGGGCTGCCACGTGCGGAATGTGTAAATCTAATCAAAGCAATTGCGCGATAAGTAATCAACTCGGTGAGAGTGGTCCGATGCGGGTATTTCTGGACGTGTTATCTTTGATCCACCAGTTTACAGATTTCGCGCCATTGGCAGCCCAATTGTGGGCTGCGCCGTAGTAGTCGCAGTGTCATTAGCTTTGGGCTCTGATCAAATGAGTGAATGAGTGACTGACTGACCGCATTTGAACAAGAAGCAACAGGAATAGTCGTTTCAATTTGTAGACGTAGTTCCAGTGACGATAGTAGTTGCTAGGCTGATGAACGGCGATCGTCCGTTCCACAGAGGCGAAAACCACCACCAGGAGCAGGTAGTTGTGTCCCACCAACACCAGTGCTGGCCATGGCTTCTAAAGATGCTTCGATAAAACATTCAATAGGTTTATACAATAATTGAGGTCAAGATGCAAAACCTCTGGAGTCGGAACTTAGCAATGATTCATCTTTTTTGACTATGTTGAGAAAAGCTCCAATATAAAAATTGGCAATGGCGACGTATGTCACGGCGATGTATTTGGTATGTGTTGGCCAATCTTTCAAGGTTCCGTCGCATCAACTTACGTCAAGAATTCTACCAGGCCTTTCGGCACTTTTATTGGCGATTCCCCACTTGTAAGCAGTACTTGCCGGTACCCCACAAGTCAGCTACTTTTGCACTCCCCAGCCTAAAGTAGGGTATCTGCGGATTACTCAGTGTGAATGCAAATCCCCTCCCTCCTCCACCTTTCAATGGTCCATAATGTCGGTAGTGTTATTGAATCTGGTATTACGATAGACTCTCTGACTTAACTCTTTTAGCTCCGACAGTGTGTAAGGAGGGGTAGGGGCAGGTGAATCATGGTGTTCGCACTTTTCCGAAAAAATTTTGCGACCCCACACCACCACCATCAGCTTTGGGAGCAACCCGCTAAATAAAAGATACTGGTAGGGTTGCTTCTGTAGTCGACACCAAGATGATATAATCACTTTACTGGCTAACGTTCGGCCGTGTCGCCGTCGTCAGAGCCTGGAAGTAAGTCAAAGATAAGTGCGACCTAGCCTCCAAAAGGCCTGACCCATTCGTTCTATGCCTATGGTCAAGGACGAATTGTTTCTTGAACTTCGAAATTGTGTTTGGAGAGGGCCTGAAACGTTAGCCAGTAAAGTGATTATATCATCTTGGTGTCGGCTACAGAAGCAACCCTACCAGTGTACAAAATGCCAAGATTTATGGATAGTCGAACATGGAGAAATACGATACTCTTCTTTCCTACCTCAATAATGACCCCCACCAATATGACTGTTTCCACTTTTCCTCCATGTGGCCGTGTTGAAGGGAGAAGGGGAGGCCGGGGGAAGGGAGGGAGAAAATACATAACCTTTCAACGACTCCTCTCTGCTTCTTACCCCAGAGAGTACGTTTTAACCTGACTCAACCTCTACCTGAGACCCCTTCCCGAGATCGCAACGACCTCGTCGTCCGTGTAGTGCGAACAGACGGTTGACCGTGGTAGGCAGAGAACCAAATCTCACTCTACTTTCCACTTCCTTGAACTGTTCTCCGTGTCATAGAATAACGATCCCCCTGTGGAATACTCATTCATGGCTCACCCTGCCCGAGCTATGTGCGTGGTTGGAGACAAGTAACGTACTTGTGTGCAAAGGAACGGTTGACATTCTTCAACCCAATACCTCTTGGGTAAAAAGAAACCCTCTGCTAGGAGTGAAGCGCGCATTCTCATGCTGCGGGTTCAGCTTGCGTCATTTGACTTTCACATCGGCTGACCCTACAAGCCGTTGTATAGATCAAATATCTAATGGAATTTGGTACGGAAGTGGGATACGTGCCGCATCCCAAAATAGGTTGGTCGACGCTGATTGCTTAGTCGTTTTTGATGTGTTTTTAATAGAAGGATAAAGTAGCTAGAATTAAATGCCAATTACAAATCCCTTCCTCTCTTGCTGCTTTATTAACGGGCGTTGTTTGATCCCTTAGAGTACCGATTGCATAAATAGCCTGCACAGCAATTAGCGGACATTCTCTGCAAGTTTCCTTTTTTCACTCATGCTCTCAAGATCATTTTTGGAACGTTTCAAGGGGAGATCGGAGAGGAAGCCTCTGTTCTTGCTTGGATGAATGTAACAGATAGCAACGAGAGTAGAGAAATTATGGGTATTATGGAAGGTAATGTGTTCCAATTATATGACCCTATGATATTTGAGGTACCTTTTTCTAAGGCAGACCCGAAGGATGACTGGAAATGCAGAAAAAAGCGAGTGAATGAAAGAGGAGAAGAAAAAGGAATGAGAGAAAATAAATTGGGAAAAACAAGAAAGAAGAGCTGAATGTTGCATCGAGAGGAGGTTTTCAAGGTTTCTATTTTGAGCAGGCTCTAATTTTTTACTGGTGTGAAAATGAGTTCCCAATTTCGTTTTTACAAGGGAAGGGAAAACGATTGATCAGAAACGGATTTCTGGTCAATCGCAGCGAATTGAGAGAAGTAAGCTGTTATTTGGAAGAGTTATTCAGTAAAGCTACATATAATTAGAACAGTATAGAACGAATATATAAAAAAGTAAACAATAAAATAAATGTAGATGTACCGTGAAAAAACAATCCTCCACAGTGATTGGCGTTCTTAGAGTACCGTTGACAATTGCATTCAATCGACCAATACCTGGAAATTGACGGGTAACGAACAATTCAATTTTGGAATTAATTATGTTGCTATTGTTTTGTGTTTATATAGTTTTGTATTTGTTACACTGAACGTATATATTTACAGGTCGGACACCATAGTGTTTATTTTGCCAAATTTAACCGAACAGGGGTCCTATTTTCCAAAAGTTGTGGAGGCCTACCCCTATAACTTTAAAAAATAGGACCCCTGTTCGGTCATTACCACCTCACCGCCTACCGACCTCACCGTAATTTGAAGAACTGTGTTTGGGGGAAGAAGTGGGATAACCGAGTGGGTGGATACTGGTTTCAGAATCGGAGTTATTGGTAGAAGCCAGCACATTGACGGGCAATTTGGCGGGCTGCGGGTCATATTGGCGGGAGCCTCTTTAAACGATTGTTGTCGCATCGGCACCTCACTAAAGGGGGAGAAAGTTCGCAAAATTTTTGGGCAAGTCTGAGCGCGACGATTGACGCTGGCTCGTATAGCGGGTGCAGCCCGTCACAGATTTGCTGGTCACCGTTTGGGTTCCATCTGTAGACACCAGAACCAGCGGCTGGCGAAAACGATGCTGATTTTCAGGCTCACCAAGTACTATGGCGGAATAGAGCTTTCAACAGCTACTTCCATTGATCACTCAGAATGGGCCCCTTTCCCCGTGATATTGTTATTTTAGGGCTGAAGCGGTGATCGCAACGCTATTCCAAGATCCGAAGATGGACCTAATTGGAAGCCTCTATTCTCACGAGTGTCAGTGGGTTAGTGCAACACGTATACTTGTCGACAAGCGGGGTGAAGGAGCCTGACACGAGAGGGGGGAAGGTGTCATGAGCTCCGTAAGCTACTTCCTAATTCAATTTTCACCCCGGAGGGATGGATGGCTTCGATTACCAGGTTCGACCATAGACCGTGGGCGTGATAAGCAGTGTATTGTAATGCTCAAAGAATTCATCGATGACGGTGAAGCCATGAATCTGCAAAGCTGGCTGCTGCGAAGATGGTGCGCTATTACCGCAAGTAACATCTGAGATTAAATCCTGATTCGCTCAAAGCATGACAAGCAAGTCTTTGATGCTGTAAAGAGACTCAGTAACAAATTTGATCGGGGTACCAGTCAGGGTGAATAACGGTCGAGGAATGTTTTCGACCATGGCTCTGTACTGTGTGAGAGTAGTGTCGAGAGTGAATGTACGCGCGGAGAGCACAGACGGCTCGCGGTGGCGAGAGTGAATGTCCGCGCGGGAGAGCGTGACTGAACAGGCGAAAATCCTCGACGAGTCGTCGATGAATCCTCGACACGTTTTTACTCTGGTCCCAGTACCAGGTGTTGGAAGGACAACCCCTTTAAGTGATACGGTGGTTGTGCTCCTTGTGTGAAGCTGAGTATGCGTTTACTAACTAATTCAAATGAAAATGCATGGTGCCTTCAAAAAGGGATACGGTAATGGGAAAATTACACTTTTGACTTTTCAAGTTGTAATGTTTTTTTTTCAAGTTCCAAGCATCAAAAACAGTTCAGTTAAACGAACGTACCGGTCATTATATAGGCGACCCCATTTATAACTTCAGCGGTTTCGAGAAAAATGAACACAATATATTTTTTCCTGAGCGATTCCCGTCGACCAAACACGTAAATGTTGAAAATGTTGAACAGAATAGAAGCCGAACCTAAACAGCTGGTGTAGAGGTTTTTGAATATGAAAAAAAAACACGTCGTGGTACTGCATTCAGAAAGATTTTGAGCAAACTAGCTTTTTACCCATAGGTTTCTTTATAATATTTTAAGCTGAAGCCGCCATGAATGGATAACCCCCAAAATGACAAAAAATTATGAAGGTTAAAAAAGAGCTGGCGCCTGAGAGGGAAAGCCTTCCT